AGTCAGAGGGGACCATGGACCAGAAAGCCACATGGATGCCCCTCCCACCTCACCAGCCAGTATTGGCCAGCAGTTCAGTTCAGTTCAGTTCAGTGATTTCCAAATATGAAGGTTAGTGAAACTTGCAATTTTTTTTAATGGGTATGTTAAGGTGCGTGTGTGAGAAAGGGAGAGGAAATGGAGGAAGGTAGGACTGCCAACTTTTAATTTTGCCTAGGGCATTCAAAACAAAACAAAACAAAAAAACCCTGTCATCTACTATCTACTGTTTTAATTATTATTTAAAAAGGACCTCAGACATCGGAAAGCAGAAGAGCTGCATCTCCTCCCTGGGGCCAGGACCGCAGCATCTGAGAACTACTCTCTTGGGTGGGGAGTCTCAGTTCGGGTCTGCTCTGGGACAGTCTCCCTAAACCAGCCTGCAACAGCCTGAGTGCAGCACCGTCACCTCCGCAGGTCCTGTGCACCCCTGGGGACCCCTGGAAGCTGTACTGGGGAATAAAGAGGTGAGTGACATAAAGTATACCTGGGTTGGAACAGGGAAGAGACCAGGAGGGAACTGCCTGGGCCGCGGGAAGGAAGGCCATTCTTTCCACTGGCAACCTTCCTCTGCCCAGACCTTCCATGGCCCCAGAGTCACAGTGTCATTTTCCAGGTCCAAGGATGGGCCCCAATCTGGCCCTCTGCCCGCAGATACCACCCTGTGGGTCCCAACAGCTCAATGGGTTATGTTTAGCACTGGCGGTGGGAGGGGAGTGAGGGGGTCTTCCCCATGTCCTCCCCCTGTAGACCTGCGAAGCCATCTCCACTCACCCTCCCGCTGGTCTCCCCTCCCTCTTCGGGGGCACTATCAGGGTCTCCCGGTCTCCTCAGCAGGGCTCCCCTCCAGGCGGCCCCACTGCAGTGGGGCGGGGCCCCCAGAACCCCCCTCGTCTGCCCCTTCAACCCGCGGTCCAGGTTTCCGTTGGCCCCAGAGGAAGGCCTCTGAGCAGAGTCCCCAAGCCCTGGGGCCCTACGGAGGAAGACAGGGGCTCGCCCCTGGGGGAGGTTGTCCAGCCACTGCTCACCTGGCCCTCCGCTAGGGGAACCTGGCCTCAATGGTTGTTCACAGTCAGGCCTCGCTTGCCAGTGCGCAGAACAGGGTGGGGGTTAGAGCAAGCAAGCTGAAGTCCACGGGATCTCAATTTGAATTCCAACTCTGCCATCACCAGCAAGGTGACCTTGAGTAAGTTACTTCTCTCTCCTGCATGTCAGTTTTGTCATCTGCGGAAGGGGATTAATAATAGTAACTCCGCTTGTCGATGGCAGAAAGCATCCAATGAAAAGTAGCTGGAAAACACGTCACGATTGACATCCCCACCCCCGCCAACAGTGCTGCACAAATAGCGGGCCTCGACTGGGAACCAGGAAGAAGCCCTGAGTTTCCTGAATCCGCAGGGCCTGGCCAATTCACTCCGCTTACCCAAGACTCTGGCTCCCAGGCGCTCCCCAGCCTTCATACTACGCATGCGCTCTGATCTCCGTCAGGCCTTCCTGGCCCTTACGTTCATTTCCCTTCTCCGCCCTTCTAGAATAAAGTGTTTGAACCTCTGAACATCCGGGCTGATTTTAAACTTTTCAAAAAGAGGGCACTCAGTGGAGGCAGCACTGGCTTCCAGCCCGGGGGGTGGTTCTAGTGGCCAAAGCGGCCACACTCGGAGCTGGATAAGTCACCAGCTCTGCTCGCTCTGAGTCTGTGCTCACCAAGAAAATGCATTTACAACTCATAAGATTTTTAAATTTCAAGACCCAGACCATGTCTAGCACCCCTTCACACCTCTCCACTAGGCACATTGTACATATTCCAAAACAAGAGGAAGGGATGAGGGGCATGGACCACACGAATGTGAGTCATCTATGATGTGACAGGCACATGACAGGCCTTACGCTATTCAGATTCTATCTGTCATAAGGTTTAGAACCCAATTTGTAACTGTTCAGGCAAGAGAGGGCCTTTATTAGCTTAGCTGGGTGGGAGCAGAAGTACAGCTGGTGAGGACTGGAGCCAGGCCAGGAGCACCCCTGGACCTGGACCTCTGTCCTGATCTCAGACAGGTAGCTTTGATCTCCTTCATCTGAGAGGCTTTCTTTCTCTCATAGTCAACTTCCAGACCCACACCCTCATATTTAGCCATCGTAAGGAAAAGGGATGTTTCCTTCACCCTATTCCCACCCCTACTTGGTTCCAAATTTCCCAGGGAAGCATTTAGATTGTCTTGCCTTGGATCACATGCTCATTCCACTCTGGCCTAAGATGAGTCAGCAGTGCGCCACAGTGGCCAGGCAGTAGGGTCATCTAAGAAGCCAGCAATTTGGAACACATATTTGGAGCACAGCAGAGAAAACCTTCTTAAAGGAAAGGGGATGTGTTCTCAGAGAAGGGGAGAACTGGTGGCAGGCCACGACAGCCTTTCTCTATGCTCTTTTATACATTACTTTTCAATGCCATTACACATCAAATACAAAAATGATAGGCATTATTATCCCCATATTGCAGATTAAGAAACTCAGTCTCAGGTTAAAAACCTGTCCAAATCATCATGGAGGCTGCTAAAAGGTCATGGATGATTGCTAAAAACCTTAGTCTGCAGTGGAATAGATTTTTCGTGCTGTGCGGGAAGTTTATCATCTTTGCAAATTACTAATGGCAAAAAGAAAACGTATCTTTACATTGGATAGGTCTTAAACAAGTGAACAGACACTACTTAGGGTGGAATAATCTGACATCATGAGCCTCCAGAGGAGACAGAGAATGAAGAGATAGATATTCTTGCCAAAAATCTTTAATCAATCCTCTCAACCTTGTTCCAGTTGAGAGGAGCTATAGGGTGTTGAGGAGGGAGTTAACCAACACCACCACAGGAAAATAGAAGTCAGTTTTCTGAAAAATTCTAAAAAATAACTGTTCTTGACTCCTCCCTAAGTCAATGTCACTTTTTTAAAAAAGGTGGACGAACTGTTCTAGATTAAAAGAAACTACACAGACAAAACCAAATGCATTAGGTGACCTTTGATTTTATTTTGATTTGAAATAAAAGAGGAATAAAACACACTCTTGGAGCTGCTGGGAAAAATCTGAAGATGGACTACACTTCAGATGGTATCGTAGAACTATATTCATTTTCTTAGCTATGCCAATGGTATTGTGATATGTAGGAAAATAACCATAACCTTAGGAGAACCATGCCATAGTGTCTAGGGGTGAAGGTTATATTCAAGCTTACTTTCCAATGATTCAGAAAAAAATGTACATAGATAAAAAGCAAATATGGGAAAATTAATAGTTGTTCATCTAAGTGGAGGATATATAGGGTGTTCATTACACTACTCTTTCAACTTTTCTCTGTACTGAAATCTTTCAGATAAAACGTTAGAAATAATAAAAAGAATTTGTCTAAGAACACACACACACACACACACACACACACACAAAGACAACACACACAGAGCTGGAACCTAAACTCAGGTTTATCATTCAGCAACTTGATATGAAAACTTTCTCTAATAACAGATACAATGTTAGGTGCATACAGTCCCTGCTTTTATGGAGCTTTCAATCTAGCACAGAAGATAGCAAATGAATAAATCATTTTTTTAAAAGTGTGATCAGTGCACAAAGGAAGTATAGCATACTATAGGAACTGCAGAGCAAAAAAATTCAGTCCAAGAACTACTAAGAAGGTGTGATTTAGACAGAATCTTATTCCCAAAAGGGACTGCATTGTGCAGAGGTTTTAACCTACTCTACAGCAAGAAGTACTGTACATTGCAAGCCTGTGTTGCCTGCACACAGGACACAAGTCTCACTTACCTCTGTTATATGCAATGAACACAGATGTTTTTTATTCTGTCCTAACCCTCCTTTTTCCTTTGACCCTTAGTGCCGGTTGCAACTAATTACAATAAATCCATTTTATAACCCAATATCGGTTTTTAACCTACAGTTGAAAAATACTGTGTTCAAGGACCCAAAGAATTTCAAAATGCCTGGGAGGAGTGGCTACAAAGCTGAAGAATTTGGCGAACAGAAGCAGGATATGAAATGTCTTGCAGGATTTCATCCTAAGGACCATGAGAGGCCTCTGATGGGATTAACGCAGTCACCTTTGGGTGCTAGTGCTAAAATTAATCTCTTGTCTCCTTATTTCCCCTTTGTCCAAAGACTCCTACCTCTTTAGCCAGCGCAAAGGAGACACCTCTCACTCATGTGGATGCAAGGCTGTATACGAGGTAAAGCTGAAGAATGCCAGGCCAGCTTCTCCTAGGACTGGAAATTTTAGAATGTGTACACAAGTTTAGGTTATAGCCTTCTTGAAGTATTTTCATATTTTCCCAGGCAAGGGAAGAGGGAACTGCCTGCTGGAAAAGTGGGTGGAGTACCCATGAGTTGGGGCTGGAGTCTCCAGGGTTCTGACTTCCCCTAGGCTGTGTTTCCCCAGTGCAGAGCTCCAAATTTGCCCTTGGTTCTAGAGCCCACAGTTGCCCAAACTGGATTTTTACTGGGAAATGAGCAGTCCCCTGCCCCTGTGAGTCCTAGCTTACTGTCCTCAGAGATCCACCCAATAGCTGGCTTCATCCCCAGTGTAATGGACCCCTCCCACTGCTCCTGCCTTCTAGCCTGGAACACCCTCTCTCCTTTCACACAGGCCTGATGCTCTCTATACTCCCAGCCCAGGCCTCTTGCAAGCCCTCAATGACTAAGCCACCAGATCCTATGCGGTCTCTGTGTCCTTCTCTCTCAGCACCTGTGAAGCACTGATATCCTCTATTGTACAGATTATCAACCTTGGATGCACATTAAAATTACCTGGGGACTTACAAAATCCCAGTATCCAGGCTATACCCCACAGCAAATACATAGAATCTCTGAGATTGGGACTGAGTGATTCCAGTATGCAACCTAAATTGAGAATTACTGCTCTTACGCTTTGTTGCAACTAAGAGCCATGAGGGGGGCAAGAGATGGTATCACTATCCATTCGGGTGACCAAATGTCCTGGTTTGCACAGGATTGAGCATTTTCAGGATGTGGGACTTTCAATGCTAAAATTGAGAAAGTTCTGGCAAACTGGAATGGGTTGGTTGCCCTCATGTTCACCTGAGCACTAAAATCTTAGTGAACTAATCTGGTCACTAGTGATTCTTGTGCCCAAAGAACAAGAGCCCCTCTGATAGACAAAGTCTTCTCTCCTGTCCCGGTCTCCACAAGCACCTCTGCACACGAGCAGGCACCTGGCACATGACCCTGCGCATTCGCTTTTCTTAGTGCCATTCCCTGCTATGCTTCTCTGCCCATCAGAATCCTGCCCAGCCTTCACACCCAACTCTTTAAGCCCCCTGTCATCCCTGAAGCTTCTCAGACTCCACAGGAGAAAAAGGCTCTTCCTGTCGCATTAGGGGACGGACTTGGGCCAAGTGAAGTATGTGGGCACAGTGCTGAGAACTCAGATCTGGCCTCCTAGGGTGGTAAACTCCTCCGGATATCCAGTCAGACATCCAGATAGCAAGGGATTCCTTAGAGCCAGGTCACCCTTACTTAATGTCAGTAATCACCTGCAAGGATGGCAAAGTACAGAAGGTGGCGGAGTGCAGAGAAGAGAGTTGAGACAAGCAAAAAGACCTTGGTTTCCAGTAAACAGATTCATTCCTCAGCCATCCACTGAACACCTACTAGGTGCACAGCACCAGCCAAAGCAGGAAGCTATAGCAGAGAGGCAACTTTAAATTCCAAGAGTCCACAATGTAATTATAATTTTCTCTGATTTTTTTTTCAGATAAACACTAATCCAGACTAACTGGAGGAAAAATAATCTGGTTATTTTAGATTAAAAATAAGCATTTACAACAAAGCAGTTATTTCTCTCAAATACCTAGAAAAAAATTTAACAATGTACTACCTAAGTAGAGGGACATTTGGAACTTCTTTTGATGATTAAAATATTCATGGTAAATAGGTGCTCAAATACTTATTTTTTTAGTTTTGTCAGTCAATTAGGTATCCCACTATTCAACTGTTTGCAAACTTTTTCCCCAACAATTACTTGATGGTGAAGCTCTGCCTCAGGATATAATGGAATTTTTGTTATAAAGGAGTTTGAACAGTAGCTTTTTCTGATAGGATATCTTGAGAATTATTGAGTGTCATTTTAAAACAGCCAGAAATTTCATTATTTTTTTCCATCCAAATACGAAACAAATGTTTTTCTCATAAGGATAGTAAGCATGTGTGTCACTACGTTTCATTCAGAGAAGCAGAGACAGGAGGAGACACACACACACACACACACCTGGCCCAGCTGCTGAGGTGAGTCAAAAGATCAGCAACAGTGAGTATGAACTACGAAATAACTGCTGCTTTTCTTCTGCCCCCCAAATCTCCCAACAATCTCCTACAGCCCAGGTGAACTGAAACATACAAGAAAAGAAATTCTGGCAAACGCAGTTCAAGCTACCCAAGCTGACACATAGCAAAGCCATGACATGTCATACTGAGAAAGTATTTGGCTTAGAAAATCTGCACATTTATTAAGTGCATTTATGTCACATTAAACGAAGAGATTCAGCAGTCTGCAGGACACTGAGGAGTAAAATACTGTCCCAAGAAGACCCAAGAGCCATTTTTATCTATAGTTACAACAAACAGGACAGATAAGATAGAAAAACAATTGGGTTCAAAGGTAACCTATTGCTTTCCTGATCTATGAGTCTGAGTCCAAAACTCCTGGCTTCTTTCTTCCCTGAAATAGACCTAACTCATTCCATTTTCAGAAGATGGCTATGGCAATAAGAAAAGCAAACCATAGATTCTCCGCCTGATGGAGATCCTCGATACCAAATGAAAACTAGTACTAAGGTTCCACTTTAGTCATCATCTTTTGTAGTGTTGCATTATGCCCCTTCCGTGTCCTTCTCCGATACACAGCTGGGTTTTTCACATCCATCATTCCTCCAAAGTGAACCTGCTCATGCTGAATAAGGTACAAACTCAACCTAAAGGTTTTCATACACCTAACACACCTATGAGATTTATTTACTACGTGGACTTTTAGGTCTTAATATAAACAAGAGCTGAACTAGGCCTAAAGGCCATCCACACTCACTACACCCCAGTGTGAGCTCCCTGATGTTCAACTGCAGCTTAACTCCAACCAAAGGTAATACCACCTTCATTTCATTCACAGTTTCTCCCTCGCACGAATTCCCAGATGACAAATAAGGTATGAATTACACTTGCAGGTTTTCCCACATTCTTTACATTCAGACAGTTTGACTCCACTGCGAGTTTTCTCATGCTAAACAAGGTGGGAGTTCCGACAAAAGGCCTTCCCATATTCACTACATTCATTACGGTCTCTCTCCAGTGTGAATTCTGTGATGTTTAATAAGGAGTGAACTCCTACTAAAAGATTTCCCACACTCATTACAATCATAAGGAGCTTCCCCTGTACGGAGACTCTGATGTTCAATAAGGTGTGATTTACAACTAGAAGTTTTCCCACAGTTATTGCATTCACATGGTCTATCTTTGGTGGAACTCACAGATGCTCTATTATATTTGAGCTCTAGAGGCCTTCCCACATTCAGTACATTTATAGAGTTTCTCCCTAGTGTGTATTCTCTGATGCTGAATAAGACTTGAAGTCCGACCAAAAGCTTTTCCACATTAATTACACACATTAAGGCACCTCTCCTGTGTGAGTTATGTGATGCTGGATAAGGTGTGAGCTGAGCCAGGTTTTCCCACACTCACTACATTCACAGGGTTTCTCTTCAGTTTGTATTCTTTGATGCTGCATAAGGTTTGAACTATGGCCAAAGGCTTTTCCACATTCATGACACTCATAAGATTTCTCTTGCATGTGGATGTTTTCATGCTGAATAAAGTATGAGTTCTGCCTGAAAATTTTTCCACATATATTACAGATTTGAGATTCTTCTTCAGTAAGAATTTGTGGCTGTTGGATAAAGTTTGCAATATTTCCGAAGGTTTGTCCATATTCAAAAGCTCCCTCGTGTTTGTTTTGTTCACATTCATCTCCTTCATGTAGTCATATCCCTACTGCAAGAATTTTCTGCTTTATAATTAATTGATCCTCAGTCCAGGTCTCACCATCTGACAGAAAATATAAAAAAAGGTAATTGTAATAAGAAAAACTTCCGGTGGGAAACAGGGTGATCAAAGTATTCCAGAAGTATCTGATTTAAAAAAAAAGTTTTAAAAAAATGGCCTTGCAATATAGGGAAAAGATTGATACAAGTTGAGCAGATATGGAGAAAGTTAGGATTTATATATGAGGTAGCCAACCAGAGATATACTGGGATTAACAGAAAAGAAATGCAGTATTTGAGGAAAGTGTGGTATGTCAGGTCATAGAACGGGTGATGTTGGGAAGTATGTGTGAGAAGGGGCAGGGACTGCACAGACAGACAAAACAGGGGAGCCTCATCTCAGAGGTTCTGTCCACATGGTATCCTGGCCACATGGATTGTCTCTGCTAGACCAGAGAAGACTCCCTCCACCTAATCATACCCCAAGACCTTCTTCACTCCTGTTGAGTTTCTCTCCACACACAGATGCTCACTCATGAACAGACACACTCAGACTACATATGCACCTTTTCAAAATAGTGAGAATTGGGAGGATTTGACAAAGGCAGATGGGGGGAAGAATAGGAGAAAAAGTTGTTTAAAATATGAAGTATAGTAGAGAGAAACATTTCCAAATCTACTTCAACTCTCAGAGAATATATAAAAATAAATTCTGTACCCTAGCTGTATCTAAGGGAGACATGATAGAAAACAGGTCGACTTTAATACAAATAAATTTTACTTATTGAATAGGGCTTAGTGGAGCTAGTGAAGTTGTTTTGCAGTGATACTAGAAAAAGCAGGTCCTCTGCATAGAGGGATCTTTCTGAAATAAGGTGGTGATGAGGAATTTCCAATGCAGCATTTCCATCAGCAGTGAAAGCCTAAAACATATGCAGCCCTGGCTTTATTAAACAATGGTGACTGCCTTTAAAGAACTTAATAATTATTTGTGATACCATCACAGAACCATATTTACATTTGTTCCACGTCCACATATGCCTTCATCTTCTGTGTGTTCAATTTGGATACTGAGGGTGGGAGGGGGGTTACAATTTTTTCTTGTGATGAGAACTTTTAAGATCTACTCTCTTAGCAACTTTCAAATAATCAGTATGGTATTGTTAACTATAATCACCATGTTGCACATTTTATCACCAGGACTTATTTACCTTATTAACTGAAGTTTGTAGATTTTGGCCACCTTCATCCAATCCCCCCAACTACCACACCTCACCTCTAGCAACCACCAATCTAATCTGTTCCCGTATCTTTTAGATTGTTTTTAGATTCCCCATACAAGTGAGAGCATACAGCATTTGCCTTTCTCTGACTTTTTCAATTAGCATAATGCCCTCAACGTCCATCCATGTTGTCACAAATGAAAGGATTTCCTTCTTATTTGTGGCTGAGTGACATTCCATTGTATACATATACCACATTTCTTTAACTTACTTAGGTTTTTCTATGTCTGACTATTGTAAATAATGCTGCAATGAACATGGTGGTGCAGACAGCTTTTTAAGATAATGATTTTGTTTCCTTCAGGTAAATATCCAAAGTGGAATTGCTGGATCATATGGTAGTTGCATTTTTAATTTTCTGAGGAACCTTCACACCATTTTCTCTAATGACTATACCAATTTATCAATAGTGGACAAGGTTCCCTTTTCTCCATATTCTCCTCTATAATTGTTATCTTTTGTCTTTGGATGATAGTCATTCTAATATGTGTGAGTGGTTTAATGTTTTTACATCTCCCTGCACATGTGTTTACCTTATGTGTCAGACAGATTGCAAACTCCTGGGAACAGAGACTATGTCTGACAAGTCAAGTACCTAAAGACTGACAAAGACATCTATCAGGTCTAATTACTAGCCAGCCAATTCTTTTTAGCAACATACCATAATGAATTCAAGTCACTCACTAATGCCTGCAGGAGCACAATCCAACAGAACTGTCTGTGGTTATAGAAACTACCCACTTCTGTGCTGTCCAATACCGTACCCAATAGTGCCTAATGAGCACTTGAAAGGTTGCTAGTGCAACTGAGGAGCTGAGCTTTTCACAGTATTTAATTGTAATTAATTTAAGTTTAGTTGGCCATTTATGGCTACTGTCTACCCTACTAGACAGCATAACTCTAGAGCTTTCTAAATCTGCCAAATCTGTCCTACAGGGCTTGGGGCACCTAAACTTAGAAGCTCTTCAAAACTGGATTCATTAATTAGGATGAAACATAAGAAAAAAGAACAAATGGAGCCTCCATCAGCACATCAACAAGTGGTAGGGCAATAACCCAGGCATGCCTCCACTTGGACTTGGAATACTTAATAATAAACATCTCACTCCACTCTACCTTTATAATCTCATCCCTATCACATCTGCCTTCTGTACTTGGCTTAAGCGAATATGAAAATGAAAGCTTCTGCTCTGTTGCCCTGACCTGGCCCCTATCTGTCCTTCTAGTCTCATTCTGATCATCTCCCCTATACAAAGCCTTTTCTACTGTCTGTTGAACCACTCTATTCACTCCCTATCACAACATGTGAAGGCTTAGACATTCTAGAGGATGTGCTTTCTGTCAGACATTTGACAGCCTGCTGGACATATTCAAAAATGTAACTCTCACTTCTTTCAGGCCCTGTTCAATATCACCTTCTCCATGAAGCGGAAGGTGATCATTCTCCTGTAACTCCTGAAATACTTCTCATCTTTACAAGTCATATATATGGCCCTTCATTCATTCACATTCATTCAGTATATTTTACTGAGCACCCACAACATGCTGCATACCATTCCAGGCTCTGACATATATCAGTGAACAAAACAGACAGAAATCCTGCCTCTAAGATCTTTCCTTTTAGTAAGGGAGATGAATAATAGTAAAATGTCAATTATATACTATTAGAAAGTGAGAAAAGCGCTATAAGGGAAAAAAGCAAGGGACAAGGATTAGAGTGCCAGGTGGAGGGACAGCGAAAAGAACTGCAATTTTAAACATTGTCTAAGAAAATGACATTTAAGGAAAGACTTGAAGTAGATAAGGGTATCTAGGAAGAAGGATCATACACAGAAGAAATAACAAGTACAAAGGCCCTGGATGTTCAAGAAGGCCAAGTGTGACTGGAGCAGAATGGGCAAGGGGGACAGCAGTGAGAAATAAGGTCAAAGACATAAAAAGGGGTCCACGAGCATAGGTTCCTATAGGCCATAGTAAGAGATCTGCATTCACTGAGTGAGACTCTAGGACACTGGAGAGTTTTGACCAAAGATCAGATCTGACATTTCAACAGGATGACACTGGCTTCTATGTTGAACGCAGGCTACAGGAAGGTAACAGCAGAGGAAGGACAACCAGCCAGAAGGCTATTTCAATAATCCAGTGAGAGAGATGATGGTGATCTAAGCAGATATAGTGGCAGAGGAGCTAGTATCAAGTACTTGGATTGTGGGAAGATGTTGATGGTCTCATCAGTAGAATTACTGACTAATGGATATGGATAGGAAAGAAACAGATCTTTCCCTCTGGGTTGAGGAGCTAGAAGGGTGACATTCCCATCTGCTGAGATGGGGGTATGTGTAAGCCAGCCACAGCATCTCCAATAATCTAAACGGACATTTCCAGGTGGCTCTCGTACCAGTCCCAAACCCACTTCTCCTTCTGGTGTATGATTATTTAATATAATATTCTTGCAACTTTCCTGTAGCTTTAACATTTTTCAAAATTAAAAAGGGGAGGGGAGGCCCTAACTGGGTTGCTCAGTTGGTTAGAGCTTAGTCCCAATATGCCAAGGTTGTAGGTTCAGGGCACCCTGAGAACTGGTCAGGGCACATACAAGAAGCAACCAATGAATGCATAGATAAGTACAACAACAAATCAATGTTTCTCTCTCTCACTCTCTAAAATCAAGAAAAATAATTATATATATATGAAGGAAGGGGCAACAATGACTCCCTTCACTGTTCCACATCCATTAAATAAACAGTACTATTGCTTCTGTTATTACTGTTAATGTCCTCAAGTCAGATCCTAAGCACTCCCCACCTCCCTAAACAAATCAGATTATCTTGATAGACAACACTCAGCTGTTAAAAGCTAACATTCATCAGTATCTCTGCATACAAAATCTTAACAGCTCACTCCACTCTACCTTTGCAATCCCGTCCCTATCACATCTTCTCTATGTTCTAGTTAATCTGAACCAATGTCTCCTAAACATTTATCCCCAGGCATTTCCTTCTCCTCTCTTTCAACTTCACCTATCAAAATCCCATTTATCCTTCAAGACTCAGCTCAAAGGCAGTGTCCTTTGGGAAACTTACCCTGGTTTCTCTCCTTGGAACTTCTAAGGTATACAGTTCCTGTATCCCTCATGGCATTTAATTAACGCCATTGTCTTTGGACGTTAGAAATAGCTTTAGTTTTGTGTGTTCCCCTCAATTTATATTGAAAGGATTAGAGTAAAAGATGTCTTCCATTTCTTTTTCTCCAACCCCAGGACTACGTAAAGAACTCTGCATGTATTAGGTGCTTAAAAGTGCTTCTGATTATTTCCCAGCAATCCATTAAAAGGAAGTTCTACTTCATCCACAGAAGAATCTATAAATCACTGAGGGTCCCAAATAGATCATTTATAAGAACTCTTCAGGACCGAGACACAAGTAGAATTCAGAGAGGCATATCCCCTCATGGAAGGAACCCCCTACCATGGCATGTCCCCCCTCAGCAGACAGGGGCCAGCCTGAGACAGAGGTAGAGAAATCCAAGAGCAGCGGCTTCCTGAAATAACAGGCAAATAAAGGGAGGAGCAAATCTATGGAGTTCTTTAAATAGGTTAATCACAAAACTGTATGATCCCAGCCCTGACCAGTGTGGCTCGCTTGGGCATCATCTCACAAAGCAAAAGGCCGCCAGTTCGATTCCAGTTCAGGGCACATGCCTGAACTGTGGGTTTGGTTCCCAGTTGGGGTGCATGTGAGAGGCAGTTGATCAATGCTTCTCTCTCACACTGATGTTTCGCTCCTTCTCTTTCTCCTTCTCTCTAAAAATAAATAAATAAATAAAATTTCTTTAAAAAGCCTGTGTGATCCCAGACACATTTCCTTCTAACAGAAGAAATGAGCAATAACTCTTTTCGTGCCCCTGAACAAAACTCATGTCTACCTTAAAATATGACTTTATTTGGAAATAGGGTCTTGGCAGAGGCGAATAGTTAAGATGGGGGCACAATGGATATGGGTGGGTCCTAAATCTTACGATAGGTATCTGTACAAGATAAAGGAGAGGCAGATTCAGACACAGAAATACACAGGGAAGAAGGCCTGGAGAGAGATTGGAATGATGCAGCTACAAGTGAAGGAGCACCAAGGATTGCTGGGAGCCACCAGAAGCTAACAGTCATGGAAAGATTCTTCCCTAGAGCCTTCAGAGTGATCTTGGTCCTCATGGATTTCTAGCCTCCATGATTGTGACAGATTACAGTTTGGTCGTTTTAAGTCATACACAATTGTTTGTGGTAATGTTACAGCAGTGCTAGCAAACTAAGGTACTTCCTGTTTGATGTTCACCAATCAACAAACGTATGAACCACCTACTATGTGCAAGATACTGGTATAGATATTAAAATAGATATATATGACCAAAGTGCTTCAAAGCACAAAATTAGGAATGACAACCTCTACCTAGATAAGTTGGGTACGGCATCCTCAAAGAATGACATTGAGCTAGGTCTTGAAGTATGAACAGGATCAACAAGGTAAAACGCATTCCAGGCAAACATAACAGTATATGCTAAGGCCGAGAAACCTAAAAGGTAATACTAAAACTAAGGTGTAGTGAAAAAAATCTCAATGTGACTGAAATGTAAGCAGAAGATATGGCAGAAAAATAGAATAAGGCCAAATAATGAAGAGACATATAAGCTAAACTCGGGATTTTGGACTTTGTCCTATAGGCAGAGAATAATATGATCAGACTTGCTTCCAGGGAAGTTTATTCTGGCAGCTGTATGGGAAGCCAGTGGGGGAAATGACCAATAGCATAGGAATGTTTCAACAACCCAGAAAAAATATATAATGGGCCTAACATAAGGAAGTGGCAGTGACTGGCAACAGAATCAGGTCTTTCTGAAGAAAGATTGATAGGATTTAATAATTAAATTTGAAGAGAAGGAGAAAGTAGAGGATGACTACAAGTTTTCTAGCTTGGGAAAACCAGTTACTAAAATTAACCCAGGTAGTCACAGGTAGGTAGAAAGATAGGATATGGTAGAAAGGGATGAACTCAAAAGTGAACCTATGAACATCTAGTACTCAGGCATCAGCTAGAAGCAAGAGCAGCACACGGTGGTAAGTGAAGTAATGGAAGGAGGTAGGATTACCTACAGGAGTAAAAAGAGGAGTGGGCTGAGAATAGTCTTGGGGAAACTCAGTGTTTAAGGAACAGGTGGAAAAATAGGAGTGGTAAAGTCCCCGAGAAGGCAAGGGGCAGACCAGAAGAAAATGGTGCTTCCAAAACCAAAGAACAAGAGTTATAAGGAAGAGTGAGTGCAACAAAAAATAATAAGGGGTCAAAAAATTAAGAGCTGAAAAAAATGTGTTCAGTTAGTTCGTTAGTGAAGCTACTGACAGCCTGGATATAACCAGTTTTGCTGGAACACAAACAGAGCCCTGTGTTGAGAAATGAATGGCAATTACAAAGATACTGGCAACTGGCAAAGATTTTTTTTAAGAGGTATAACAGTGAAGGGAACAAAGGCAATTGTAGCCAACTTCCATCGGCTCCTCAGTCAGCCACCCAGCCTCACAAGTTCCCATGTAAATTCTTGCATCTGATTGTTCCCTTCTTCACAGCCCCAGCCTGTTTTAGAAGCTTCATGAAAGGGTCTGTCCTGCACTGAGTCTTCACACATGGGACCTTGAGATGTGTGGGATTTGGATAGGCAGAGAATGTAAAAAACAGTAATACGTGTGAGTAAAAGGACACAAATGCACAACAGTGGGTAGCACAGGTGTCTAAGTGCTGTCTGCATTACCTTGTGCAGACACACCACTCTTGCTGAGTTTGCCTTGGGAAATACTGAGGTAAGGCCTTAAAGTTGGGTTGAGACTACTGCAGAGAACTCAAAATATGAATAATGAGTATTTAAGAAGGCAAATATGGGCACTTGGTTTCTTAAAAAGACTAGCAGCAAGGAATCTGTAGTAAGGATCTATTCTATCCTCTCATCAAAAACTGACTCCTTTCATACCCTAAATTCTTCCAAGGCCAAACTCATGACTTTCTTAGGGTTCCAGGGCTACTACCCAGTTCACAATGATTTCTTCCTATGGATTCCTACACTGTTTATTGTCCTACAGCCTCTTATAGTTAACTATTCCAACTCAATTCTAAGCTGGTGGGTGGTTAGGGGTTAGATTTTCTTTCAAGTTAGTCTCAACACTTCATAATAATAAATATTGTTGAATGAATTATTAGCCTGAAAACATCATTAGAAGACTACATATGTGAAAGAAAATCTCCCCAAATATAAGCCATCTCAAAGTCCATGATATGCCTTATCTAAATCTTTGTTTCCCAATTAAATGATCAAGTCTGCCTTTTTTTTTTAATGGCCAGACATAGATAGCAGAAAAATGCTGAGATGAAAGACTGATACTAAAATGTGGATATTTATAGTTTAACCTCATCTTCCATCAGCAGGTGGCTGGCTTGTCTACTGTATTCCAGGGGCAAGCACCCTCTTGCAGTTTATACCTTGAGTGGAAAATGTATCTTCCCTAATGGTGAAAGAGAACTTGGGAGGATTCCACTCTTTTCCTGGTACTTGGGCTATGGGGTAAACTTTGCTGGGCTCATTCACTTATTAATCCACATGACATTCACTGAGCTTCTCCAAAGACCAAGCAAATTAGTAGGTGCTGGAATGACAGCTCCACAAGCCTTAGTGCTATGATGGCGCTCCTGCAGGTATCCTCAACAGTCAGAGAGGAAACATTAGTTATAGGCCTCATTTACACGCAGTAGAGTTTTAGGTAATAAAAAATCAGTTGTCTTGCACCAGGACAATTCTAAGTGTAACATTAATCGTGTCTATCTGATCTAAGGCTGCAGTCAGAAGGACGGTTTAGACCAAGAAAGCCAGTTACGTCAGCTCCTCACCCTTGCTCTTTCGAGGCTCCTGCTCAGGGGATGGAAACAGGGACTCCAGAGACATCTGCTCAGGCAGCTTCTCCATGGGCCGGATCCAATCCTCGGTGCTGCTACAAAGCCAAAATCTTCTCTAAAAATTCTTCAGAACACAACACAAGGGACGGGCAGTCACCTCAGGAAAGGGTAGGAGAACAGGTCAGATACAGGGAAAGCAGTAGGTGAAGCTCTCCCAGGAGAGACTCCCAGTCCAGAAGGTCTGAGAAGCTTCATTCTCTCTCCAGGCCAGCTGGGTCCTGCCGTGAGAAGGTCACCTGGCACGCAGCACCAGGAGGCAGCCTGCAGGCTGAGCCTGGGCTGGGGGGACCCAGTAGGTTCCTGCACCCCCACCCCAATCCCACAGGAATCCCCTGCCCTGCCCCCAGTCCCCCAGCCCAAGCCCATTACCGCAGTCAGAGCTTGACACCGTGATGGCGCAGTCGGCCCCACTCTCCTCCCAGAGCCCGGGGTCGCTGAACCCCCATACTCACTTGCTCAGCCCGACCCATGCGCTCCACAGTGTTGGCGACTTCGCACTCCTGAAGGAGGTCTGGGAAGTCGGGTTCCTCGGTATGCACTTCCGGGTCCCATCTAGGCAGCTTGGAGGTCTAATCTCGATCACTGATTCTCCGTGGGCTGCTTGGCGGGAGGCGGGGGGCGGGGGCGGGATATGGGTCCAGAATGGCGTTGGGGTGGGGACCTACCTCGGTGTTTGTCCTTACCCCAGGAAGGATTGCAGGAGGATGGGACAGATTTCTCTATATGTCCTGTATCGCCTAAGTGGACCAGGGACCTAAGTCGGTTGTGTCCTTCCTTCTCATCCTCTCTTTTCCGGTGTGCACCCCATTTGCTCCCTCCGCTTGACTCCTGCCCTGTTTTACCACTCACCTCACCTCTGTTCTTCAAAATCACAGGTCAGGTTGACCGGCTGGGCCCACATTCAGGTTATCTAGGTCCTCAGACCACCCTGTCCTTTAACTTTGTGGCTTCAACCCAACCCCGCCCATTTTTGCCTGGAGTATATAAACAAGCAGGAGGAACACGTTTGTACCAATAAACAATATGAGGAAGAAAAATCTTAGAGGAGAGGAGATCCAAAGACCCTATCGAGCCCGCAGTACAGATTTGCCGGAGGCACATTTGATATGTTGAAGCAGGAAAAAAGGTTAAGGAAATGAGCTGTTTATGAAAAGGGTAGATTCCTGCTAAACTCAGAAATAACAGCTACCATTTGTGGGGCATTGAGGCTGCCATTATCTCACTAATCCTCACAACAATCCCATAAATTCGGTACTTTTTACTATCTCACGTGCCAGAAGCTGCCGTTAGTAAGCAACTAGAGGCAGCATTTGAATCCTGGTCTGTTCCAATCAGAGCCTGGTGTCTAACTGCACCCAGAAGGGTCAATGAGAAAGGCTGGGGGTAGATCTGTAGGCTGAGCAACCGCAGAAAAGAAAAAAAGACAGACACTTCTAATTTTGCCCAAGTTGTATATTTATAAACATGAATGAAATACAAGAGGTTAACCATTTTCTAAAAGTGAAGAGTGAATAGGATGCATCAGCAAAATAAAAAACTCCAGCATTATTTTGTTAATTTGTACAGGGCACCATCTGATTTCTGACTGAAATCACTCTTACAGTCTTGGATTAAACAATGGTTCCTTCATGCACTCATATTTTTAAAATGTGATGTCATATGATACAAATTTTGGAATAGACAGATGCCAGTTTGCTGACTCCAATAGGGAGTGCCCATCAGGAGGCAGTTTCTACCACGGCCCAGGATGCCTAATGATTTCTCTAATCATATTTACCGGTAAGTTCTACAAACCCAGGACATCCTGCTCTGGATAATGCTAGTTCTACACTGTTAAATGCTTGCTCATTAATTCCCTCTTAAGATTATACTTCTATCTAAACATCTGTCTTCTATTTGTATTGGTTTTATATTAATAATTTTTTGGCACTTATATGACCAGCACCTTTCACATTCTCTCTTTAGTTTTCATGCTGTTATTAACCATATTGTATAGACAAGAAAACTAGAAAAGCTTAAGTAAAATTTCCAAAGTCACACAGCTAAGTCCAAACATAGATATGTATAATTCCAAAGCTATTGATTGCTTGGACAACTAATGTTTGTCTTACTACTCAGTGGATGGCTTCATTCACTTGATTAGGTTAACTATATCCTTTGGCTAGCACTGAATTATCAGAATCTAGCAATTGTGCTACTGAGTGAAGGAACAGGAGAAGTTACATTTCTAGATGTGAGAATCCTATCATGCTTTGCTGAGAGTCTCTTTTGAACTTTGCTCTTAAACTTCATCAGTTTCCCCCATACTATTTTCTAGGGTGAGGCATTTCCCCAGAGGGCTCATTTATTACCCTTGAAAATGCTATACTCTTTCATCTGTAGGCCTGCAGACATGCTCTCTCCTGCCTGAAATACTCTCCTTGCTCTTCTTCCAACATCCCCCGTATCACTCGATACTCTTGCTCAAGCCAGAACCTAGCAATCAAACTTGACATTCCCAATACCTACTTTACTCCACCACTGTAACATAACCAGAGGTGACAGTAAATCTTGGTAAGAGAACACGTCCATCAGCAAGTCCCAGATAGAAGCAAAAATTAAGAGCATGTTTGGACATTGAAAAATGGAAATGTAAATCTAGTGATGGGAGTGGAGTGGCTTGGCTGGAGATTTGGGAGCTTTGACCTGTGGCCTGACATTGTCAAAGTTGTCTAAGACTGTTTCAAGTAGGGTAGGTCTCTGACTAGCTCCCAAAAGATACTGGAATATTTTCTCCTAGTATCCCAGCTCTAGGAGCATTTAGGATCCATTGCAGACTGGTAATAGTGAATCATTGGGGTGTGATGAAATTAAGAGCAATCAAAGAAAACTTCTCTGGTTGGCGTCTAATACCAACTTCATGATGATGGAAAGTTTTGGAGTCAAACAGACCTGACTTTGAACTTGCTGTGTAACCTTAACAAGTTCTTTTTCCTCTCTATACCTCAGTTCCTCTGTAAAATGAAGCTAGTTCCCTTGCAGAGCTGTTGTGAGGATTAAGTTTGCATATGTACATACATACAGTACATGTAGATGGGTGGAGAGATAGAAGATAAAATTAAGTGTCCCTTAACTATTAGATTTCTTCTCTTCCCTCTCCAACATCAAGACTAAAATGACTAAGAACACAAACTCATATCATATTGGACCATTAATTATCATCAAGCTTAAAGTAGCAAGTTACTTGCCCTCAAAGACATTTGGTTTCTAATGTTTTTAAATGTTTATTTTTTTAAAAACACATTCTGCCTAGTTCTACTCAAACCTCAAATGATTTACTCTTATTTTATGTAACGAAAGCATCCAGTCTAATAACCCGTGAAGTCCTAAACATTCAGGCTTTATTCCTCAAGAGTTCTGTGGAAGAGCAAGAATCAGTACACAGGAGAGAGTGATCTACTCTTGTTGTGAAGCAGGTTTCTGGAAGGAACTGAGTTGCAGCCAGGAAGGTCATTCCAAGATTTCCAAATGCTTCTGGCTAAGGCCTTCAGATTTTATTTGAAACAGATTCTCAGAGTATCAAACAAACCTTTATTCAAGTGGAGATACAAAAGCACATTGCTAAACCAAATGCATACATGTGATTTTTATATATTCTGCTATTTAGGGATTAATTAATCCTCTGTTTCATAATCACCAGAGTTGACTATTATTCTCTAAACATAAGATTATACACAGTCATTGACAGGAGAAAAAAACATGCATTTTCATTTGCTTTTACATTTAGATCATTTAAATCTCTACCTTGCCCTGATTAGAATCTATGCTTGCCGATGGCTAGGAGGTAAAATATAGTGGCAGAACTATCCTAGTGGTTAGCCATAAAATGCTTATATAGCAAGCAATAAGTTATTATATATTTAAGAATGCCTCATGAATATTATGAGATTTGAACTATGAAGGCCTCAATTGCTGGGACAACAACTAGAATTTTAAATAACACTTATCTTATTCACAAAATATTAAGAAGTTTAAGATGGAAAAATATAATGAAATGCTTTGACATCATCCTAGAATCATGAATTGTTGCTAGGTGTTATGATGGTGACCCCGAAATCTGGAGCCAACATCTGTGATCACTTTTATCAATCAAGAAAATCATGTTCTTTTATATGGCCTGTAGACTCTAGGAAAATACAAAAATAAAAGTAATAATTATTAAGTAATTATACACAAAGCCCCCACACTTCAAATGCTGTCCTGGACTGATGAGGGGTGAATGGGCATGAAAATCCAAATAGAGAAGAAGCAATCTTAACAGTTAAAATTTTATAATATCAGGAATAGAACTGCCACTCTTTTGAGATGCTACATAAAAACAGCAATATCTTTGTTGGAAGGCTGAGCTCTCTGCCTTATGAAGCTTCCTGACGTTTTAGTATATTTTATTATGTTTTGCCATATCAAAAGCAGACCCAAGCATTTTGCTGGCCTTCAGTGGAAGTATATAAAATAATCCTAAACTCAGACATGCAGAGCGGATGCTGAATGAATGTAGCTACACCACCAGGAGTCTTGCTGGCTCCCTGATATCTTTATCCTCTTTTTTTAGTGGGCTGTGGATGCAGACAAGCCAGCTAAGTGCTTGGGCATCACTTAAAAATGTTTAGCTGCCTGCCATAAATTCAGGGGAACCAGAATCCTTCATACTCATGGGTGAACAGGATGTGGAAATCCAATTCTTTTAAAAGAAAACACTTTATTTTGGGAAAGACACCAGAACAGCAGCATCAAGTAGGGACAGCATACCTGCTGGTGAAAAGCTTAAAACCAGGAAACCATCATTTGAAGGTGCTTAAGAAAATGGAGAAATCAACAGACATCCAAGTATTGTGGCTAGAAACAAACAGGAAGTATGGTCCCCAGAAAATAGCAGGTCTAACAATCTGTTTTGGAGAGAACCTGGGCTGAGAACAGCAGAAAAAGCTAAATGAGCTACTTTCCAGACACTGATATGTTTTAACATTGGTGTAATACAGTATCTTAGGGAAGCTGTGAATAATACATACCAATTTCAGGGAAAATAATGTTTATAGGCCATATTAAAATAAAAATAGCTTAAATGAATTCCATAAATAAAGTATACATAGTTATTTACACCACCTTTTATATTAAAGAATGCCATGAGAAAACAGCACTGCATTCACCATGTCACTCCTCAGACTAGATTCCTCTGCAGTGAAAGACTGGAGCTATATATTAACAATTTTGTATACAAATAATCAACAATTCTCTCTCCAGTACTTTGATGTTTGAGTAAAGCCAGGAATATTGCAGTAAATTTTTCCATTTGAATTATATCAGATTCTGGTCTGTTATAGATATTCTGATGATGAAAAAGACTTGAACTCCTATATCAGTGGCTTCTCTTGGGTATGGATTCTTTGATGTTGAATGAGGATTGAAATATGACTAATGTTCACATACACACACGCACACATTTATTACATTCATAGGCTTTCTGCATGGAATGAATTTGATGCTGAACAAGGTAGTTTCTTTGACTGAAGAAGGCTTTTTCACATTCATTACAGTGATGGAATTTTATTCCTGTGTGAATCCTCCAATAACTAAGGTATAAACACAGCATGAAGCATTTACCTTCAATATATTCATAGGTTTTCTCATTGGTGTGGGTTTGCAGAATTTAAACAGTAATAGCTCTCCTACATTCACCACATTCAGAAGATTTCTCTCTGGTGCAGATCCTCTGATGCTGAATAAAGGTTGAGCTATGACTGAAGGTATTAATTACCACATTCAGTACACACATGATTTCTCTCTGGTGTGAACTCTCAGATGTTGAATGAGGCCTGAACTTGACTAAATGTCTTCCCATGTTCAATACATTCATAAGGTTTCTCTTTGGTATGAATTCTTTGATGTTGAATAATTTGTGCTCTCTGACTGAGGTTCTTTTCCCATGCATCACAATCAAAGGCTTTTTCTCTAGTAAGGACTTCTCGTTGCAGGACAGGATCTGAGCTATGATTAAAACTTTCCTCATAATCATTACACTCAGATTTCTCTTTCCTATGAATTTTGTGATGCTGAATAAGGCATAAGGTTTGACTGAAAGCTTTTCCACATTCATTACATTCATGTGTTTTCTCTCGTGTATGAATTCTTTGATGCTGAATAAGGTGGGAATTCAATCTGAAGTCTTTTCCACATTCATTACATGTATAGGGCTTTTCTCTGAGATGAATTCCTTGAGGTTTAATAAAGGTCATCCCACATTCATTGTATTCATAGGCTTTCTCTTCACAGTGAAGCTTCTGATGTTCAACAAGGTATGAGGTATGGTAGAAGTCAATGCCACATACAGTACACTTACAGGGCATCTCTCTGTGAATTCTCTGATGTTGAGTAAGGTGAACACTACGACTGAAGACTCTTTCACAATTGCTACATTTATAAGATTTTGCTCTGCTGTGAATCCTCTTATGCTGAATTATGCCTGAGCTCTGACTAGAAGATTTATCAGATGATTCACAGGACTTATCAGATGCTTCATATTTATAGGGTTTTTCTCTAGTATGTATTCTTTTATGCCGACTAAGACTTGAGCTCTGACTGAAAGATTTTTCACATTCTTTACATTTGTAGGGTTTCTCTCTAGTATGAATTCTCTGATGTCTAGAAAGAGCTGAGCTCTGATGGAAGATTTTCTCACATGCATCACATTTATAGGATTTCTCAGTGGTGGGAATGCTCTCACATTTAGTAAGGTGGGAGAGCTCCATTAAGCTTTCCTTATAGTCACTATTCTGAAAATCCTGGGTTAGATTTACTTGTTCGTGTTTCTCAGCAGCTGAATTCTGGTTGAGGCTCATGTCATACTTATCAATGTCATCAATGTTCTGTATTCTAAGATCTCTCTGGTCTGTATTAAGGGTAGATTCCAGACTGAAGCTTTTCTCAGGTTCATTACATTCATTGTTCTCACTGGTGAAAGTTTTCTTGCTGATTGTTATTTGCCTAAACTCTCTCTCCAGGAACAGAAATTTCCTTAGGATTTCCTGAAGCCTTTCTAATCTGTCCTCAGGTTTATATACGTCTCTAGTCTCAGGAATTTGGGTGATATCCTTTTTGAGTCTTCCTACTCTTGCTTTGCATGAATGTACTTCTGAAATGTTCTGCTTAGGAATCAACAGCTTGTTCTCTTCTCTGGTTTCTGCATCTGATTCAATATATAAATAGAAAATGCAAATGTAATCTGTACACTGTGCTTAGAAAAAGAAAACTCAGAGAGGAGAAAACTAAATAATCTAGTTACTATCAGGATAAGAGAGGTTTATTTGTTGTAAAACACAGGCACAAAACTTCAACAGCAGATATAAGGGCATGAATAGAAACAGTGAGGTAGGATCCAAATGGTTCGGGGTGTGAGAGAAATAGAAGGTACTTTCAGAGTAAGAAGACAACCAATTAAGGTGTTTCAAAGGAGAAAGCAGGAAAATATTTCAAATGAATTATAAATAAGCAACTTGAACAGGGGCCTAGTTCAACCTGTAGATGATAAGAGACAAAATAAGTGCAGAATTCATCAAAACTGAAGGGAAAAAGAAAGAGTTCTCTTTCCTGGGATACAGAGCTCTTCATTCTGACTGCCTAACAGCTACAACTTGGCTCAACACCTGGACTAATAATTCCATCTGATTGATCCTTCCTTACTCACCTGAGCAGTCATCTCTTAGGACTTCTCTATTCTTTGTTTCCAGATCAAAGACCTGTAGATCTTGTTCCAGTTGAGAGATCCCATCAGGCTTGGAAATTGGAAATCCTGCTCATAGAGAAGGAAATGGGATGTGGCAATTTATCCCCAGATACCATACCAGCCACTTTTTCTCTTAAATAATAGTTAATGGAGAAAGTAAACTCTTAGAAGACATTAGGAAGGTATGGAAGTGAGAGTAGCAAATATGTTCTACAAGGAGCTCCTATTTGTGCTCTATAATGAGGTATGTTTAGGTGCAAGTTTATGACTTTTGAGAGCAATAATATTAATTTAAGCATTACTCAGACAAGGGAATTTGTGCATGAGATAATTTCACAAAAATTACCATTATCATTCCTCACCTGTTGCCTATATATCAACCTAGTATTAGACTGGTCTATAGTATCAGACCGGTCAAAATTGAGGTCATCAACATATAACTTTGCTGGACTGGAAAAAGATGAATATTCAAGTACCTGTTGTATGGTGAGAAAAACTGTAGCAAGAGAATCAGTGAAGACAGTAAGTATTCCTACGATCAATCTCAAGAAACAATTCATTTCAATTCACAAGACAAACCAATGAATAATATGACCCATCTCATCCATTAGGAGCTTACACTCTGTTTATTCCACAAACATTTATGGGGTATGCAAAGTATGTATGAGGATAACGGGCCCAAGCAGATGAGGTCTATTCCCTCCAGGACCTTACACTCTTAACTGCAGAGACAGATATAAACAACTAACGACGACATGATAGTGAGGAAAGTGCCATAAAAGGCATCTTCACATAAAATGGTCTCTTTCTGGCTTGCATAATGGACTGCAAAGATCTAATCTCTTTTAAAGTGAAAGAAAGAGGCAGTCTGCTTCTGAAGGGCAGAACTATAGTATCAAAGGAGCATTTTTTTAATATATGTTCAGCCCAGAAAGCTCCTAGTAACACACACACAAGGTCTAGCTCAAGCCTCTCATCTCCAAAAGCCTTTCTCTTCACTGAGTATCTACAGAAATTATTATCTGTTCCTATTATCCTGACATGTCACATATAATGGAATTAATAGATTTTTTAATTGGTTTCAGACAGCATCATCTCTACCTGATTTATTAACTCTTTGATAGTAGGAGCCATGTATCTTGTATCTTGTACTTCTTTTGATTCATTTACTTAAGAATTACTCAGTGAGTGCCAATTTTGTGCCCAAGTGTCAATATATAACAAATAACTAATGTTTTTAAAAGGGCATTGGGCCTGGAAAATACGATAAACCAACAGCTACCCTTTTGGGATTCCATGTGAGAGCCAATGAGCAGAGACATCAGAACAGATGTAAAAAAGACATTTATTTATTGTGTTTCTGAATTACTGCTAGGCATTAATAGAATCCTTTTGGACAGGTACTTAGTTAAGATCCTCCATATCAAATAAAATAGTTTTGCAAGTTTAAAAAAACAGGATGGCTTGAAGCAGCAACATAATGTGCAACTTTTAATTTTGAGATATTTATCAAAATTTCTAAGTATTCGATAGCTAAACCAAATTGTTTATTTACTCTGTATCTATACTTAAGTCACATGCGTACAATAAAAAAGATCATCTTGATGTGGAATGAAGGGTTTTATTTTAGACTTGTGTTTAAGATGGTGTAGAAAGACCTGAGAGAAAATGCTTAGCAGGTAGTTAGAAATATAAGACTGCAGTTCAGAAGAAAGTAGAGTTCGGATCATAGACTTAAAGCCACCTATATCATCAAAATATTAGGCTTTGGTTTGCTAAGCACTTGATAGATACAAAGTATCATGCCAAGAGCTTTACAAGCTTTCACTCAATACCATACCTTTATGAGGTAGTTACTATACTGCACCCATTTTACAAATGGGAAAACTAAGATTCAAAGGGGTTACCTGTAGTAACTTGCCCACAGTCATAAGTGGCCAGGCTAGGGCACAAACCCAGACAGTCTTATTTCAGAACCTGGCTTTTAAATAATCTACAGATAAAAAAAAATAATAATGATTGTGAGTGAAATCCATCCCTTCCTCCAAAATATGTAAAGAAGGAAAACAGAAGACCAATATATTGTTAATGGAGTAAAAGGTGAACATAATAAAAAGAACAGAAAAATAGTGATTGGAGAGCCAGGATCCAAAAGATTTGGAATCATAAATGTTTTAACTAAAAGGAATCTAAGAGATCATTAGTGTCAAAGAAATGAAAATCTCTTTATAATAAAAATCCAAACTCCTGGGCAAAGCCATGGCAATATTCTATTTGAGGAAATTCTATTATAAAGAAATAATTTGAACACGTTCTTGAAATTTTTGTTCATATTAAAAAAATCTGGTCTGTAACTTGTATCATTTGCTGTCATCCTTTCCAAACAAATATTTGAGTAACTACTATGATCCAGGTACTCACAAATACAATCTAATTTACTTGGCACAAACCAGAAAGGTAGACATTATTTTTCATGTTTTATAAATGAAGAAAATGAGTGTCAGTTTAAATATTTGCTCAATATATCACAGCTGGTAACTGGAATTCAATTTAATCCCAATTTATATTCTTTCTAATCTACCACACTAAGGGACACAGGAAGCATTAAGACAGGGTTTGTTTTGTTGGGTTGTTTTTTTTTTTGCCATTAGTGTAAATGTCTTTTCCTAAGTTTAAGTCAAAACTCTGTGCCTTTAAAATAAGCATATGCTTTAAAGTTTTTCCTCATTCAAGCCTCTCATCTAAAATTTCTTAATTTTTTATTAAAATCTTTTAATTTTAAAATTTAAATCTTGACCACTTTCTAAGTAAATTTATTTTTACTTAACCTGGTCTTCAAGACTTAAAATATACCCCATTGTTTGGTTTGCTGCCTGTACTAGAGCTGGTCTAAGACTTTTCCTGGTCCTTAACAAATACACAAATAAAGCTCTCCTTAGCAATACTGTTCTTGTGTACAAACCTATTATAATGAAATATATTCCTAGACAATTTTACTTCTTCTTGAATGTACATCCTTTCTGCTCCCAAACTGTACAACCTTATGCCTGTCCAGTTTATCGTAGTCATTTTTAATTGTCATCAAAAAGCCATGAAAATATAAAAATCACCATATGTGGTTTGACTAATTGTTCTAAGGCACAAAATAGTGAAAAAGAGCATGGGTTTCAGAGTCAGATTTGAGTCACAAGTCTAGCTTTGACCCTGCATGAATCACTTAACTCTCTCTGAGCCTTAGTTTCCCCAAGTATAAAATAGAATAATACCTACTCAGACTATAGTAAGGATTAAATGAGATATATATATAGTACCTAGTAACATATTGGTTACTCAAGAAATAGTAAATAGCTGTGACAGTAAAAGACAGTCTATAAAAAATCATTTTTGTCCTTAGGACATCAACTTCAAAAAGTTAGCGAGTAGGTACCAGACATTCCGGATTTATCAATTCACTTATTATCAACTAGAATTTTGATAAACATGTTTCTAATGCTGTCATCTAATTAGGCACCTGCCACGCTGCCCCATGTGAAATGCAATATAGACCTCTTTCCCATTCTTAATCTCCAGCGCTTAATCTTAATTTTAAGCGCTAAATCACATATAACTTCCTTTCGGGTATGATCCTCAAGCCAGTAATTCATACACTCTCAACAGTATATACTTTTTTAGATTTGGTGATGAAAATTATAACTTTTTACCTACTTTTTTACTTTTTTCCAGTTGTTCATATTCTGTATATTTACTACAGTATAGACAATGCACTTAACCAAAGGACCAAAGTTCTGATATCTGTGACAAATACAACTCAGAGCCACTGCCATGGGAAAAAGATGTGAGCTGGAAAGTAGGGCTTGCTAAACCAGGGAGTAATTATAAAAGTCCTTATTTTATAACACCAACATTAAGCTAAGTTAATTAAGTATATAACTTTACATTTCACATGGAGTTTGCTGAACCCACAAATATAAAAGCTCTTCCCAAGGACTGTAATGAATAATTACGAAGGAGATGCTGCTGACTTGGTCACGAAAGCAAATTGAGTAGGAGAGCTTGTATGCACTTGTGCCCGGTATGTGTAAGTGTGCATGCATGTTCTCTGTGTATGAAGAGAGAGGAAATGGGATGAAATTCAGTTGAGTAGCCTGCTGTGTGTTATTTGGCTGATTAAGCTAAGAAGTTTCTTTACTCCAAAAAGTAGACAGGTTAACTGTTGGAAATTATATAATTATTAGATAAAATTTACAGTATCTTACAATTACATATCACTTTACAGTACACAAGCTTGTTAAATATACATTCAATTGGATACCCTGAAATAAAGCAAATGAACTCTTCTGCCCTCCCATTTCCCCTCCATCAAGGACAGGGGTCAGGAACTCAGAAAAGGTCATATAAATGCATTAATCTGTTCAGCAATAGATTAATGCAGAAAGGGGACAAAGGCAGGACCTTGGAGGTGACCACAGGGACTTAAAGGAAGACTAGAATGTTAAACATGAAAGCCCAGGGGTCATAGGAGAGTTAGGCATCAGAAGGGGCAGGTTCTGTTCACTACGGAAGGAGGGGAGTACAGCATACGTTCCACATTCTAAAATAACATGAAAAGATCATAACTGAAGAGCTGGAGTTGAACTTTGTGGTTCCTCAGAACACAAGTAGATGACCACCAACCGTGGCTTCTGAATGAACTCAAAATTCAGGATACAAAATGCATCTGGTTGCAACGGAGAACTTCCTTGGCCCTTTAGAAATTTAACAAAGGTCATCTGAGGAGCTGCAATTTTACATAGTGGTGGCATCCTGGGAGCATCTATTCCATCAATCAAATGTAATATCTTATAATCGTGGAAAAGGAGTTTCCGAGCGGGGATGAGCAATATCGATGGGAAGCCGACACTTGGGCCATCTCTTGGAGATTCCTGCTGAAAGGACTGCAAGTGTTTCTCCAGAGAAAGCACTTGCCTGGGTATGACTCAGGGCCGGGCAGGAATTCACACTATGAATCCGGGTGGTGGGAAGACGGAGAAGTATGCCTACAAAGATCAAAGAGCCAGGAATGGAAAACAGGCTAAAATCTTCCCCGTGGGCAGGCTGCCTCCCCACAGACAAGAAGACCTTATTAATCTTGAGTGTAATCAAGGAAGACAAAGCAACACCCTAGATGTCACTAGCATAGGCAAAGCAAAAAAATGTTTAAAAGAGAGAAAGAAACGGAAAACTGATTAAATACATACATGAATAAAAAGAACAAAAGCAGAGACAGGCAAAAAAAAAAAAGAGAGAGCGAGAGAGAGGAAAAGGAGCAACGCTCACATGAAGGGGGCTGCCAACAAAGCCCACTGATGCCTCAGCACCACAGGCTGCCTAATCTCGGCTGCCTGCTGTACCATCCAAATGACAGAGAGACTTGGTTTAAGTCTGAGACTTCTGCTGCTTGGAATGAGGTTACTTAGGATTACCATCTGGGTGACTCACTGAAATGTACTCAGTGAGTCATGCCTTTAAATGAAGTCTCTTAAATTCTGCCAGCTTAGAGATGAATTTAGGGATCTTAAAAGGTGAGCGATTACTCAACAAGAAGGATTTAAGCCTATCTTTTAAAAAGGCATTTTTTTCTTCCAAAGAAAATGGGAAAGTCAGATACACAGTCACTGAATTACCAGCAAGGAAAGTGTCTGGTTGTGTATTGGGAAGCCCTAGAGTCTCTCTCATTTAAAAAAAAAAGAAAAGAAAAGAAAGAAGAAAAAAAAGGAAAAAAAAGATAGAGGAGGTGAAAACTTAGGCAAAGCACAAGCAACTTTCCCTTTTCTAAAAAGGGAACAGATACCCCACAAAAGCAGGAACCATTAACTTAGAATAAGGAGTTGAATATGCCTCATCTTGAAACCCCCAAAGGAAAACCACTCCCAGAGGAGATGACCTTAAAGATAGAGGATTCAGAGGTTCTAAGACCTGGAATCTGAGCCAAACTCTACTTTCTCAGAGGCCTCACACCTACTCAGTATAAAGAAAACCCAATAGATCAACTGAATAAAAAGACAGTCCTTACCCAGTGAGACCACGTTCCCATAATTCTCTAACATCACTTCTCTGTAGAGATCCCTCTGAACAGGGTCCAGGCATCCCCATTCCTCTCGAGTAAGGTGCACAGCCACATCCTCGAATGTCACAAACTCCTGAAATAATACAGCCTGGCTGCTCTCAGGACTGAGGCCACTACAGCATCATGGCCAGAGAATGAATGATACAGTCTCCAATGTGTATTTATATCAGGGAGGAGTGAGAACAGATTAGAACCTAGGGAATAAGTTCTATAACCCTTTAACATCTAATAAGCACCCATCACAACACTAGGGATAAAGAAAAAACAGTGTTTACTGGTGGTGTTTGGAAAGATGGAAAGGTGGTTTGTGTAAAGTCCAGGTCTCTGAAGAGATCAGTTCCAAAACCAGGGTTTGCTACTGAAAAAAAATCCAGGCAAGGTTTACAGATGGGGTGAGGGAAGGGCCACACTCAATCAGCAGCAACAGTCCCTGAGGAAAAGAAGGTTCCTCAGCTCACCTGGTACCTGGCTGTCAGGAGCGCAGCTGCCTGGTCTCCTGGGCTTCCCTCGTGGGGAAGAGCAGGCACCTGGGGGACAGGTGGAGCTAAGGGAGGAGAAAGGAGCCAAGAGTGAGAGTAGCCCTTCCCCAGGGCTCCCTTACAGAAGATAGAGTCAGTAGGACCCTTCTTCACATCAACATTCTAGCAAAACCAATGAATGCTTATCAGGTGTGGAGTGTATCTACTCTGCTCCTTCTCAGCACTTGCATGCCCTGCTTACACATGTTTGAACCCATGATTCAGGACTTAAAGCACTGTATCTGTTTTGCGGATGGGTAAAGCAAAGCATAAGGACTTGCAGTGACTTGTCCAGGGACATAGTTATTTAGTAGACTTCTGACCGTTTCCTAAACACTGTTCTATAAACATCACTAAGCCTTTCTCTTGTGAATGAGCATCGTCTCTGCAACCAGTGTGTAAGGTTCCTAAGAATAAGAAATGAACATGTTTCCTGACGATCTCTTCCACACTCCCACCAGGCCCCACAGCACTCTGTATACTGTGGCATCCAATCAGTGTTGCTGACACACAAGTTATTTCACTGCAGTTGGCCACGAGCATTCTAAGATAAGATTCTTACAAAACAAAGGAAATACAATACAATAAAAATGTTACTGTACAGTCAATATGTGATATGTATACATCATACAGGCATTGTGCTCAACCAAGGAATTAAATGGGTGCTTTCTTATCCAAAATTAAATTAGTCACAAATACTGCAGCTGCAACAGAATGGCAGGTGGCAAAGCACAAAAGGTCATCAGGGAGAGAAGACACTAAGTGAAAGGAAGGGATAGACCCTAAACCTAAGAAGAAACAAAAGCCAGGCAAGGATTGTGAGATGCAGCAAAAACAGTGTATCTTAGAACTTATCGTGGATGTGGTCATTGGGATGAAGCAAAGGTTATATAAACAAAAAACAGCTGGAGCAGCGTAAATGATTAAGGCTGAGCTGGGTCAAATCTATCCTTCCCTTCCAGACATCCCTCTAGGGGCCACCTTCTTATTGAGGTTCCTGGCCTCTCTCATACCAGGCCCAGAAGCCCCTCTCCATTCCCATTCTCCTGGATGTAAGTGCTCTCTCTGCCTTACCCCCAGTGAGTCCCTGTTCCATGTCGGTGTCCTGCAGGAACTGAGGCTCTGGGGACAGACCCTCAGACTGGGTCTCCAGAGACTGAAATTGGACCCTTGGTGATCCTTCTGCTTCCTGGACCAGTATTTCTTCCATTCCTGTTCTGGGGACCAATGACCATCACTGTGGGAAGAGATTAGGAGAAATTATTGTCATAAAATAGCACATAATTTCATATCCTCAGGACTTAGCAAAGTACCTTATACACTGTAGATACTGAATAAAAATACTTGCTAATGATTGACCAACTAAATTAAACAACGGGATTTGTGGAATTTAAAAAAAAAATAAGAAAGTACAACTTAATACAGTAAAGATTTCTGTGAAAAGTTTAAAATATTTAACATTTACAAACTCCTTTCAAGGCTCACGTTCGTTCACAGAGAAATATGCTAGTTATGATCACTCATTATTTTTTTAAGTGCAGACTTCTTAGAAATTACTTAGTAACACTGTCAGCCCACTTTCAATTACTAAATGGTTTTGGCTAATAACAAAATTCCACTTTTGGGTTCAGACCCTTCGGTAACTTAGGTTAGGTTGGCGGGCCTTTTCCCATAATCCTGACAGTAACCCAGGAAAGAGCTGAGATTCAAACAGGTTTGACTGGTGTCCTTCAAACCCAAGGACGAGACAGGGTTCTGTCCCCCATACGCGACAGGGTCTGTCCTCTCTCCGCAGCTCTCAGACAGGACCCTCGCGCCGGGTTCCCTGAAGGCCTCTCCCAGAGCTGCCCTCCCCCCACTTCCCTGTTAGGTGAAAACATGGTCCCAAAAGGACGAGGCGGGACACAGATACTCAGCTCACACCAAAGCACGGTCGCTGGATCCTGAGAGCGGGATCCTCAGTCCGTGGAGCAAACTCGGACTGAGAAGAAACAGGCCCTCGCTCCACTGGCCCAGCAAGCTTCTAAGGACGGAAACCGTCGTAGGCGGGACCGGGCGCCTCCGCCTCCTCTTCCTTCCCGTGTGCCAAAACAGGGGGCTGTCCCCACCGCGGCCCCAAAATGGCTTGCAGAGACTCACCCGAGCGGATCGTCGGCCCAGGCTGCCGTCCCGTCGCAGACACCCTTGCTCGCGGGGGCCACCCCGGCCCTTCGGGGGTCGTTCTGCACCGTTTGGAGGGCGGTGCTTCTCTGCGGCACTTCCGGAGGCGGAATCCGGAGGCGGGGTACAGAGGGCAGGCCCCCGGATGAAGGCCCTGGATGAAGGCCTCCTCTACGAAGTGTGGGAACTATCGGGTGTATCTTGCCTGGCTTTTCCCTTCCTAACCTGCCAACCCCGCTGGGCCGCTTTTTGTAGCCAGCATACCTGAAATGACTGACAGCCCGGACTTGGGAAAGCGCCCCTCGCTGGCCCTTCTTGGCGTCAGCCAATCCTCGAGACTCCCTGCGGGGTGGTGGGCGGCACAGACGCGTATCGGGAGGTGAGGAAGCAGGGCAGACCTAAAGGTCGGACTTCCCTGAGTCAGCCGGTCGGGAACTAGCACAAGTGTACAGAATATACTGATTAAAGAGAGGATAGAGGGCTCTTTGGTTATAGAAGGTACACAGAAAGTCGGGGATCGGAATCTACTAAGGTTCTTGGGGGAAGGGGGGGACATTGGGCAAACTGCCGTGAAAGAGAGAAATTGAAGAGAAGAGAGCCACGTTCCTGGACAAAGACTGGACTATACGGAGACAGGGATAGGTAAACACGGAGAACTTGGACAGGCAGGTCGGAGTGCTGGAACAGAAGCCCCTGGAGCATTATGATGTCATGGATCCTTAAAGAACGTCGTCTTGTGGAACTAGATCTGCTAGGGACTGGCAAGTCTCTTAAAAAAAGGGACTTGGAAGGGATTTAGATATTACTTCTTTATTTAAGCTCACAAATCAAATGTTATCTTTTAATGCTATATGACATCAAATGAAATATAAGAAAAACCGGAAGTGTGGGATTCTATTTGTCTTTTCAAACTACATCAGCCACGAGACTACTATAACTTCGCTTTTTATTTCCTTCTTGATTTTCATTGGCATTGATCCCTAACAAAGAGTGGTAAGAAACAGTAGCTACTAGCTGGCTTCTGAGCAAAATTTTCTTTCAATGGTTCTTCAGATGATGCAGGTGGAAACAACTAACCAACTCATAAAATTTGTGATTTTTAGTGTAAACTATATAGCTTTAAAGAAAATGTATGAGTAACTGAGCACTTCATTAATTTTTCCTTTATGCCCACCATTGCACTAGGCATGGATAGATACAAAAGTAAAATTTCACACCAGAATTACTACATGCTCTAAATATGGGTTTGGCTCCCCAACTGCTTTGCCTGCACTAGCACCATTGTCTGAGAGCTCAGAGGATGCCTCATCCATTAGACATAGCTTAACCAAGGAACCCATTTTATAGTCAAGAAAGTATGACAATGAGCTTGTAACTACAGAATTCATGGTACTTACTCATCATGCAGATGCAGCTAGCCTGACAGAACTGTGGAAAGGCAGGTATTGAAGACTTAACTAAATTGCTGATATAAAATACAGCACCTTGCATAGTTGGGGACACAGTATGTATATACATTGATATACAGTGAACCAATAATACAAATAATGGTATTGTGTCTCCAATATAAAGACTACAGGAACTAAGGGGTCAAAATAGTGGTGGCCCTTTTTACTGTCATCCAATAATCCATTTGTGGAATTTGTGCTTCCTATTTCCAGACCTAGAGTCTTCTGGGCTATAGTCCAGATTCTCTGAAGAACATTTCTTTTAAGGAGATAACCTTGTGTTCTGCTGAACTGGAAACTGTGAATAGCACCAGGCCACTTTGGGTTCTTTGTGCCAATAGATCAGTAGGCAAAGAACAGAGTTGTTATAAATGCCCCTACAAAGTTCTGGCTGGTGTGGCTCAGTGGATTGAGTGCCAGCCTGTGAACCAAACAGTCGCTGAATCAATTCCCAGTCAGGGCACATGCCTGGGTTGCAGGCCAGATTCCCAGAAGGGGGTGCAGGAGAGGCAACCACACATTGGTGTTTCTCTCCCTCTCTTTCTCCCTCCATTCCCCTCTTTCTAAAATTAAATAAAAAATATTTTTTAAAAAAGGTTGTATCCTTTATAATAAACTGATACACATAAAAAATAAATAAATAAATGCCCCAACAGTTTCTGCCACATACACTACATAAGTGGAAAAACATACCCAGCCAGCTGCATTCAGTAACCTACCTTCAACTATTTTAATGTAAAAATAGGGATAGAGGGAAGAGGGCAGGTTTATACAAAGAAGAAAAACACAATACACAATAACCTAATGGCACTTATAGATGACTTGGAACACTGAATGGAAATATGAGGGAAAAGTTCTGGGAATATGATGTCTTCAAGGAGAACCATAGATTAGCGAGCCAGCCAGTGATAAGGATCAAAGACACAAATGGATTATTGCAGAGTCTTGGGGATGTAGAAAGAGAAAACAATGGTAACCACAGCAAGGTCAAACGTTATAAGGAATGGAACATTGTTCAGGGTTTGGAAGGTTATTCACAATATCACCTATTTGGTAGCCTCTGTAGAGGGTGGCTATTCCTTTTGGGGGTTTCCACTGTTGTGCTCAAAGTTGTCTTGGAGAGTAGTGTCACAGTCATTCAAGATCCCAGTTACAGTTCTATTAAAGATGAAGTTTCTTGATTTACTTATGAAGTAATGGTAAAAGTTGTAATTATTGTGATGACATTCTGACAGCAAAAATGCCTCAAATTTGACTTACTATAGTAATTCCATTTTTGTTATTCTGAAAACTTCCTGGAAACATTAGCCACGCTCAGAATCTTATAAATTTTAGTATTAGAAAGAATTTCTGTTGCCCATAAAGCAAGTATTTGAAACTATTGTCCATTCAAGTGGCAATGCACAATTAGGGTCCTCAGAGAAGCAACCACTTTGGTTTTGTGAAACCACTCATTCCTTTTTTTTAATAATTATTTTTATTTAAAACATTTTTGAGATATAATTCAAATACCATACCATTCATGCAAACTATACAAGTTAATAACATTTAGTATGCTTACAAATAGTGTAACCATCATCCCAATCAGTTGTAGAACATTTTCACCACCCTCAAAAATAGCCACACCTCATAGCAGTCCCTTCCTGTCCTTCTCTCAGCCTTGGGCAACCACTAATTTACCATCTGTCTATGGATTTGCCTATTCTGGACATTTCATATCAACGGGATACACAGTATAAGATCTTCGGTGACTGGTTTCTCTCACCTAGCATATTTTCAAGGTTCATTCATGTTGTTACATGGATTTGTACTTTATTCCTTTGTATGGCCCAGTAGTATTTCATCCTGTGGATACATTACATTTTGTTTCTCTATTTCTCACTTGATGGATATCTGAGTTGTTTCTACTTTTTGACTATTATGAATTATACAGCTATAAACATTCATATATAATTTTTCATTTCTCTTGGGCATATATCTAAGAATGCAATTTTTAGGACACACGTTAACTCTATGTTTAACAATTTGAGGAAATGCCATAATGTTTTCCAAGGTGGCTGCACTAAGGAGCATGTTTACCACTACAGTGTGTTGAGGGCTCAATAAGAACAAGCAGAAGAAATGTATACGTATCTGAACTGGACGGTATCAAGAGAAACTTAACCCACGTTTTCCCGGAGGCTAAAAGCTGAGCTGAAGAGACAGATTCCCATCTCAAAGCCGAACCCAGTGATTGGCGATCAAGAACGCAAAGCCCTCTCCAGTTCCTAAGGGGATCCCGAAGCGAAGCTCAGTCCCGGAAAGCGCAGGTTGACGCGCTTCCGGCTGCTGTGCCGGACACACACACGCGCAAAGTCTCCCTGGGTTTGGGTGAGCAGATTGCCCTTTGATAACCAAAAGTCACCTCCCTTTTGTATCCCAGCAGCCCGCAGACTTCCCTGGGGTTCACGGGAGACGTGGGTCCGTCCAGGGGAGGGTGGGCGGGGACAGAGTTGACTTTGAACAGTTGCGTTGCGCAGCCACCGACCCCGATCGGAGCGGAGGAGGGTCCACGTCCCCATCCTGCATCCCAGCCTCGGCCATAGAGAGAGCCGTCTCCCTGCAGCGACAGCCCTGGATCCCGGCAGGAAGGAAACGACGATTTCGTTTTCGGTCTAGGAAGCGGCAATCTCGTCCTTGGTGCTCTCCCCAAGGGGTCGGGGACAAAAGTGATTCTAGTTTAATTTTTGTGCTTCCCACGAAAGCATTCAATATGCTGTTTTCCTGGTGAGATTTTTTTTTTTTCCTAGGTTTCTTGGGACCCCAAGGTGTAAAACGAGGAAGATCCTTGAGGCTACCAAGCTGCACCAAGGACTTTTTTCTCTTTTAATAGCGGCCAAATTGAAGCCTCAAGTGTTTGCTCACCCCAAACCCATTACCATTAATGATGATGCTTAAAGAGTGTTTGAAGCCTAGTGAAAAACGTGATCTGGATGCAGTAGGAAAAGATTATATACATTTCACCCTTTAAGTTTCCGAACTTTCTGAATGCTTTTTTATGTGTATGATTTCAGACATTAGATTTTTCAGTTGTGGTGGCTGAGCTTCACTTGGTACGATGAGTAGTGAAGGGAGTTTGTGGCAGTGTAATGCCAAGTGTGTTGGGCCATCAGGAGACTAAGTACCTGTGCTCTCTCTGCCACTGATTACCAGGATGGCCTTGGACAAAACACCGCCAAGTCTCCACTCGGTACTAAGTAAAATAAAATGGGTTATCTCAAGGGCCCCTTCCAACTTGGAAATTGATTGAGAATGATTTCACTGTGAAAAATCCATCTAGGCCAAACCTAATGCCCCATCTCCGTTTCCTACAGGTGTCACCAGGATAAAGGAACACTGATTGTAGAGAGAGAAGGTTAAAGGGGCAGGTCAGTAATAAAGAGAATATGCAATCGGTAAATGAATTGTGGACAATACACTGAAAGCAGATCATTGGGACCTTACTATTTGCTGGAGAAATAGGTTGGTTATACAGCATAATAGGAAATATATAAGTAACTTGCCCATTGACACATTATTTATGTATTTTAAACCTGTTGCTATAATATTTCTTCCATTCTTATTCAGATGTTTCATAAATAACCAGATAGTTGCAATA